TGGCATTCTTCATTGAATTCTTAAATACTGTATATTAACCTTGAAAATTCAGAGTCAAGTTTGCTATCAAAATGGTTGGTTTGTAAAGTATTTACAGAATTACAAATTAGCATTGGGTTTATCCATACTCCTGACTATTAATTTTTCCAACAGGTATTACAGGAGTAACAGAAGCCATTAAGGAAATCACAGTGGAAAATAAGGTATTAATTGATTTACTTAACTGATTCAGAGAGCTTTTCATATAGCTTACTCACCGAAATAACCCTTCTTCATAAAGAGGAATTTTTAATGCAAACAATATTTAAATAAGTTACTGAATTCATAATTTTTGCAGATGATAGTTATACAATTGTACCAGAAACATATTTTTACCCTTGTTCTTGATACTAGAGTAAATTTATTTCAGAATTGTACTTTCTCTTTTATACATGCATATAAAATATGTGGATAATTAATACTTTTAAAGACGGTAAAAGAAAGAAATTAAAAAAAGGAAAAAGTATGAGAGGAAAAAGTTAAAGATAGAAAAGAAAAAAAGTATAAAGAAGTAGCTTCCAGTATTCTTCATAGCAATTAAAAATACAAATATATTTTGACCTCTCTCTCTCTAAAATTACATCATATTATCTTCTTTCTATATCCTGTCTAATCGTCAAAACCATGTCCCAAGTTTATTTATTTATTATGGGTAGTGTCAAATCTTTCTATTTCTGCATACTGTAATCTCACTACTATTATACTGAAATAATCTTCCATAGATTTTTTCTATTAATCCTAAAAGGAAAAGTTCTGGTTTTAATTGAATATTGAAATTTAAAATTCTCTGTTTCAAAGTATGGATCCAATTTTTTTAGCTTTTTTGTCCACCAAGCATGATAAAATGTCTCTTCATGTTGTTCACATTTCCAACATATATTTGAAGTGCCTCTATATATTCTAGACAATGTCTCTGATAATATGTATGAACAATGCATAGTTTTATAAAAAGTATCTTTGAGATAATAATACAATGTAAATTTCAGCTCTTTTAAGAACATATTTTTCTATTGATCCCTATAAATATTATAACTAAAATTCTTAGCTCAATTTATCATATGTTCTCTATCTTCTGTTTCAAATTTCAACAAACGTTTATACATTTTAACAATTACATGTTCAACATCAGTACACAATTTTATTTAAAAAAACTAACCTTTGCTCCATACTGTAAGACTTTTCATTTTAAATCCCTTGACAATTACATCCCTCTATGAATAGTTCTCTTGCTTTCATTTTAGATTCTCCTTGATGATTTTCCAAAAGGAACTGATATGGCAACTATTTGTCTGCCATTTATCTGCCATATCTATTCATAAATATAATCCCAGGTTGCGTCTGAAAACACAGCATATTATAGCTTCTTAAGTGGATACCATAACGGTGTTTTCTGACGCAACCTGGGATTATATTTCATATGATCAATATGGCATATCTAATGAAATGATTTTTAAAATCCACATTAAGTTTTACTTTATTAGGGTTGCATTTTTTCATAACTTGAATTCACCATATGGACATTCTAGCCTGGGCGTCTGTTGATCATTGAAAGTGCTTTTTTTTCCCCTCATGCCCTTTAAGGACAATACAAAGTTATCAGAACGCTTAGTTTCTTGTGAAGATGATGATGATGATGAAGGAGAAGCAGCTGATATGGAAGGTACATTGAATATGCAGGGGGATATATTACATCATATTAAACAAATGAAAGCCAAACTTTGTTTTGCTATTGTTGCTTTCTTTCAATATTTTATAATGGGGCATGTTGTAATCCATTTCGCTCATCACTTTGTTTTTAAGAAACCTGTCTTCTTTTGAAATATGCAAGCCAGAAAAGTGGGGAAGAGAGAGAACTTAAACAATCTGGAAGTAAACAAATTGATGACATATTCAACAATGAGACAAATTTGGTGGAGGAGGAGAAACCAGAACATTTATCCTAGACAAAGAGAAAGGTTTTGCCAAATAAGAATATTCCATTAAAGAATTGCAATCATTAAATGATGAAGATACATATGTAGCCTGCCATTAAGGCAAGTCTGCCTGTATAATATGGGACAATTTGTTTCTTTTCTTTTTAATGGGACTAATCAAAGAGACATGGCACGAACAACCATTTCCTATTTTGTTTTGTTCTGAAACTCATGAGAAGCAATGTAAAAGTCCTCAGTTTCTCCCCTCCTTTCTCCCCTGTGGTCTTAGGCATTGTTGTGATTGTGTCTTTTTCTCTTTGGATTTTTTTCTGGTTTCTTCCTACTTTCTGACCAAGAATGTTCCAGTGTAGCAGCTGGGAGGAAACAGATTACAATAAGTTCCTGATATGTGTTATCTCTCATACATGTAGATATTAGGATATTTGTTTAATTCCAAGGGATTAGTTCTTAAACATTGCTCCCTATCCTGGGTAGGTTAACAAAAATACTGATGTGATTTTTTTAAAATTGTCCTTTCAGAATATGAGGAGAGTGGACTGTTAGAGACAGATGATGTAAGTATGATCTATTTATTAAATAATGTTTCTTTGGAGTTCAACAGAATATTCTTTAAAGTGACATAGGGTTAAAAGGAAATAATATAATATGATATTTCAGCAGTACCATTTGACAGCAGTAAACACTGAACTTGAATGATTGTTTTTTTAAAATCTTCAACAGGCAACATTAGACACAAGAAAAATAGTGGAAGCTGCCAAGGCTAAAACTGATGTTGGAAGTGGAGAAGAAGCTATTCTACAAACTAGGACTTATGACCTTTATATTACATATGACAAATACTACCAAACGCCCAGGCTTTGGTTATTTGGCTATGATGAGGTAATTTTCCTTCTTATTTGGAAACGTAGATATTCAGTAATGAAACAAATTCACAATTGATTACAGATAGTCCTCACTTACAACCAATCTGAAAAAGGGGCCCTATGACCTGAATTCAAAGTTCCAACAGTCAGGCCTCCTTTGTAATCACATGACCAAACTTCAGGCATTCAGCAACACAACTGCATTTACGGTCATTTGCTGTGTCCTGTGGTCACATGACCATGTTTTACTCTGGTTTTGCTGAAAACCAGCACTTCTGGCTTTTGGCATAAACCGCACTCATAGTGAACCATTGATTTATTTAATGATCTTGGCATTTCCATAACCATGGTGTTATCAATGAGCCTCAGTGGCGCAGTGGTTAGAGTGCAGTAGTGCAAGCTACTTCTGCTGACTACTGGCTGACTGCAATTTGGTAGGTTCAAGGTGTTTTGAAGCCGCTCTGTTTGAATGCAAACCACACTTTCCGATTGAAAACACTTCTATAGGCTTAGAAAAAAACATGTCATGATCTGTCATGTTTGATGTGCTTTGAATTGAAACATTTTACATACCTCTAAAAGTAGCCAAAATGCTGCCTCACGAAAATCTAAATTTTTCATCAATCATAAATCTTTCATTGATCATAAAACATAAAACCCATTCAGTTTACATAATTGTGTTGAATCACAGGAAAGGGCAAAGTGTACACGAGAAAATTAAATAGTTTCTACAGATTCTATGTTCTTCATCCTCCTTTCTATGCTGAGCTTGAGATTTTACCAGACAGTATTTCCAATCTTATAAACAGTTGTTCAATTTTGCTAGTTTTATGTTTCTGTGTATATTTAAAGAGGAATCTGAGCTATGTTGTCTTCTTTTTAGCAACGGCAGCCTTTAAATGTAGACAGTATGTATGAAGATATTAGTCAAGATCATGTCAAAAAGACTGTCACAATTGAAAATCACCCCCATCTTCCTCCACCTCCAATGTGCTCAGTTCATCCATGCAGGTATTTTTTTTCCAATCCTTGTTTTTAAAGAAATGGCTATACTCATTTTCTAGAATGGTATCTTTTCTCTGTTTGATTATCTTTTAGCAACAAAAGCTGTTTGTCAACTTTATCGATAGTCCTCACACAATTAACAACTATTCAAAGTTAAAACAGCTCCCCCTCCAAAAAAGAGAATTACTTAGCACCTGTCCTCAAAGTTATGACTGCTGCACATACACGCACACTGTGGTCATATAATCATACTTCAGTGCCTGTCAACCAGCCTATTTGTTGCTGGTTTCTGGGGAAAAAATGTCCATTCAGGGGAATGGATTTATTTAAAGATCATATGATTTGCTTACCATGTAATTCACTTGACTTCAGTGACTTGCTTTGTGACTTGTAAAAATGGTTGTAAAATTAAATTACGTTAACTAGTGACCCGCTTAATGACCACAACAGTTTATGATGGAAATTGTGGACTCTATTGTGATGGAAAATAACTTCATGCAAACAGTGTCAGGGTTCCAGTTAATACACCCAACGGAATCAAAACTCTAAGGCAGATATATTCCTTAAAGTATAAATTTATTAGGCATGTCATATGGCACATCTGGGGAAAACCCAACTCTGAAGGACCCAAGGTTTTCCTACCCAAATCAAACCAAAGGTCACACCTCCATCACATGGTCCAACCAGGTCGCAGCCACCATCCTAGCTGGCTTTGGTCCACCCCTCTCCAACACCTGGCAGAGCGTCCTTAGCTCCCATGGGAAAGAATGTATTTTTGGCTACACATCCCCAGCTATCTCTGTCACCCCTCGTAGGTCCTCACAGCTCCAACCGGTCTTGCTGTGGCAGCCCTGAAGGTGCTCCCCAAATGGCTCCAACTTAAAAAAATGGCTTCAGGGCTGACAAGCAGCCTGTTTTGAACCTGAGATCCTCCAGATTTTATATGATGGTTAACCATGCTAAATAGCTGTAAGTCTCCACCTGTTATATAGGATCGGTGCGTAGAGATTGAATCAGTGCATTTTCAAGAGGGGAAGGAAATGAAAAATGGCTTGTGTCTGCGTAAAATTGCAACCTAAGTATTGCAACATTGGTCCAATTTTGGTATTTATATTTTAAAAATAAGGAATAAAAGAGGAAGACAGCTTCCTTGCTTTTCCATTTTTGAAACAAAAGCACAGTAGAATTCATTAAAAACAAGCAATACATTTGGAGATGCAGAATGATATTATTGCTCTTCTAATTTGGAATTTCTCTCAGCACCTTTGCCATTTAGAACTAAATGCTAGATAAATATACTTTATTCTGATCTGCCGTAGGTTGTTTTTTTTTTTTGGCAGTTTAGGAGATCTGTACTATTTTTTTTTAAGGATTGACCTACAGGCAACTACCGTCCAAGATAAATTTCTTGGAAATAGAAGCAAAGGCCATGCGAAAATATTGTAGATGTGTTGCACTCAATATAGCAAAAAAGGAACTAAGGAAAATTACCAGTAACACCAGAAAGAAAGTATAAAAAGCTTGCTCAGAAAGCTTGCCTTAGTATATATTTTGTACAAGTCCTTTGCTCCTTTGGCTTCAGAATATTAGTCTAAAAGGTGTGGCAATCATTTCCGCAGTATGCTTCCTGACAATTCTTCTTGGATCATCAGGGAAGTGTAATCTGCAGGATTTGAAATCAAAGCTTGTATTTTGAAATTCCAGCAGTTTGGATCTGTAATTCTTTATTCAGGAAAATCCTAGATTCATTGAAGTGCAGAGTTGTTTAAGTTTCCAGCTTCACTTTGTCATTAATATTATTGATTGCCGCATGTCAATCTGGTTATACTAGTTTTGTTGTTTCTGTTTAGCTGACCTTCTGTGTTTCCTGTTTCAAGAAATACATGACAGGGTTTTCTGAGAAGTAGCTTGAGGAAGGAATTTTTAAAAAGACAATTGTTTTGTTCAGCCTTATAGCCTGAAAAGTATACCAGGGAAAGAAAAAGGGCAGAGAGGGGAACAAGGTCAGACACTAAATCTTGAAATTAAAAACTAATTCTTAAATAATAACTCCACTATGCACACTGAAGGTGTCTCTTTATTTGTGCCAATTTGTGCCAGAAACATTGCAATTAAAATAAGGGATACTATATTAATCTTTTAACACAGTTGGTGAAATGGTTTGATCCCCTATCCTTCTCCTTCTATGATAATATGAAATACGACTTCAGCAACAGAGCGGTCAATTTCTGGAATACTCTACCTGACTCTGTAGTTTCTTCCCCAAACCCCAAAAACTTTAACCTTAGACTGTCTACTATTGACCTCACCCCTTTCCTAAGAGGTCTGTAGGGGGTGTGCATAAGCGCACCACATGCCAACCGTCCGGGTCCTATTGTTTCTTTATTTTTCTTATAGGTATCCATTTCATGTATTCATAACTATATTTATACTTATACCTGTTATCTTGTAAGCGATTGACAAATCAAATAAATAAATAAATAATCTGATGAAGGTTTGCTGCAATTGGCAATGAAAAGAGCAACTTGATGGAATTGGTATAATTGAAATGCTTTTTAAAAATTAGGTGAATGGAACATGTTTTCACTTTCTCACTTTCACTTTCTCAGGCATGCAGAAGTGATGAAGAAAATAATCGAGACTGTGGCAGAAGGTGGGGGTGAACTTGGTGTTCATATGTATCCTTCTTACAATCAAACTTTGTTTCTATCAAAGGGAATAATTTAAAGGGCTCAGTAATAATTTATTTTTTATTTAGCCAGATAAAGCACAAGGCATACATTTCTAACTTTTCTGTTTCCATTTATCTACTGCTGTCTTTATTTTTATTTTTTAAAAATATTATTTTTACAAATAACTCAAGATGTCAAACATATCCAACGCATCTTCCTCCTCCTATTTTCCCCACAGCAACCCTGTGAGGTGAGATGGGCTGGGTGTGAGTGATTGGCCCAAGGTCACCAAGCCAGTTTCATGGCTAACTTTTTCAAGTTTTAGATGCATTGTTTCACTCAAAGGCTAGAAGTAAATGACGGTAGAGGTAACTTTAGAAAAAGTGGATTTGTTTTTCACATACTTTTAGTTATATGATGGAAAAAACACTTGTATCTGTTGACAAAAACATTAATGCATGTTTTTTTAAAAAATAGCATTAGCAAAAACGATGGTAGGTTTGGTCAAAAGAACATTTGTGATGATCAGCAAATTCCTCCTGTCTTCAGTAGTAACAATGACTATAACAAAAACTAATTGTTAAGGAGAGTTACCTGCAGACTAAGACATGCTACATAATGTATTAGTCATTAAACCATTATATCAGACTGGATTCTAGGAAAGATCCAGATAAGGAGAGATAAACTGGTATTTGATTTTGGAAGAGGAAAAGTGTCTTTTTAGCATTATTCTCTTGCATTTCAAAGGAGAGAATGTGAAACTAGTACTATACTAGGTTTATTTTCCTTAATTAAATTTCAGGTACCTTCTGATTTTTTTGAAATTTGTACAAGCCGTCATTCCAACGATAGAGTATGATTACACAAGACACTTTACAATGTAATTACTGGAAATAAAGCTTATCGTAAATATTGGTTCTAATTTTTAAAAAGAAAAACCCAACATGACTGATTTGTTGATCCACCATTGTGTGCAATTTCTGTAATGTGTCACTCTCATCAAAATAAAATTCCTCTTATCAGCCTTACTTTTTAATAAAGATCTTTATGTGTAAAAACAATAAATCCCTTTTTTCATTCCTGTTCTCTGGTTATAGAATTGTGCTTTACTTTTACATAATGCAAAGAATAATTAAAACATAATTATATCAGTTGTAATATATTTCTGTAAAATAATTATATAATTATAATAATATCAGTAATTAAAGCTGATAATTAAAGTGTTTAATCTAAGTTTATAATTAAGCAGTTTTAATGTATGCACACTTTTATACAATTTACACAGAGTCCCAGTGTTCCTCTCTGAGGTAGATGGGTGGTTCAAAAATATAAAAAAATGAATTAAAAATAACAATTTTTTTCTAGCTTATGCAGTTAAACTAGAGGAATTTTGAAAATACTAAGTTAATATCAATGCATATTTTTAATTGTAAAAATGGGGAAAACAGGAGTTATACTGGGATCATCAGATAAATCTCTATATGATTGAATCAGGGGTCAAAAACTTCCAATTGTTTTAATGAGAGAAGCAGCAAATGATTCCTTTTCCTATTCTCCATTTTCTGGGAAATGCATTAATTAAGAATATATAGGGACTGTGTTCAATTTTGGTCCTTACATCAAAAGTTCTGATTTAGGGTTGCATTTAACTCCTCTTAGTGAATTTTTATGTTCTAGTACAGTGATGGCTAACCTTTTCGTCATCGCGTACTGAAAGTGCACACGCATTCCTGCACCTATAATGCAGTACATGTATTACTCCCCCGCCCCTGCACATGCACACATGATTCCTCCGCGCCTCTGTGTGTAAGCACACATCTGTGTGCACCCCGCCCCCCATACATGTGTGGCAGATACCCGACAATCAGCTAGCTGGTGGGAGGCATGCACACATGCGCAATGGATCTGATCTGGGGCAACGGTTCACGTGCCAGTAGAGATGGCTCTGTGTGCCACTTCCGGCATGTGTGCCATAGGTTCGCCATCACAGTTCTGGTATATTTAAAAGCAAAAATACCATTTAGAAATCTGAAGTCCATTAGGCTACTATATTTTAATCCAATGTGATGTAAAATTAATTAGATTAATTTAGTAAACAAAATTTTAATAAACTCTGAACTTTATGTAAGCAGGGCCAAACAGGGCACACTAGAATCTTATATTCTTATAGTTCTTATTAGCCTGACTGGATGGAACAATGGAAATCTAAATACATAGGATCCAGTAGCAGATATAGTAGATGACTGAAAGTATTTCTAAAGAACAGTACAAACGTAGAAACCAATCATTTCATTATCAAACAATATTGTGACAGGCCCAGCAGGCTAAAACTGCAGTTCCAATGTACTGGAGTTTTATTTTTAATTTTTTTCCTCCTCCCTCCCCACTAAAGGAAGCATCTATAAGTAGAGATAAATCTGTTTCAAAGTGTTGGAAGTTGTGAGACAATGAAATAAGATCTAGACAAAGACAAGTTCTTACTCTAACTTTCCTACCTACCCAGGATTTTAAAATTAGTAGGAATAAATGTATTATAAACAGATGGATAATATATATATATAATTGGAATAAAATACTGAAATGCAGTTTATCCCATTGTTCTGGAACGTGCAATATTCAAATACTCACCCATTTAAGTTTCTTTCAAAATAACTGCTCAGATTCTTCAAAAAATTACTGGATAATCGGGCAGTTAATGGGTATAATTGATAACTTATATGATAATTAAATTTCTGTGATTTCTAATCAATTGCATTTCAGGGAAACAAAATAGCTATAGATAAACGTCTGAAGCAAATATATTCAAATTGAGTTCTACCTCCTTTTTCTGCACTGCAAACCTTTTCCCCAAAATTGCTGTATACTATAAAGTTAGGAAATGAGATCATGAAAAAGAATACTGGGAAGGATTTCAGGAAATTATGTTTACAGCCTCGCCTTGCTGCTAGAAGAAAAAGAGGGAGTTATTCTCAAACCAACAACCACCTTACTTAGATAGAATATCTATACATAACATATATAAAACATATAGCATTCTATATATATTTTACCAGCTATATATCTATCTTGATGTAGGATGATGAAAAATTGTTCCTTTTGTCGCAGGGCATTCATAAATGGAGTATATACAACAGAAGGAGACATATATTGACAGATTTACATCATTGTTAGAAAGGCCTTGACAAAAACCCAATTATTGGATTGGGTTTAAATATCTACTTCTTCAAAAAAGGGAAGAGGATTTCAAATAGTTTCATCCTTCCTCAAATATCTTAAGGTCCAATAGAATGAGTCTACAATTCCTAAGTTACTCAGATACTTCAAGTACCTCTAATAGAGTTGCTGTTTAAATCACCGAGGAATATTTAAATTGATTCCCTCGTCCACTCACAAAAATTAAAATCAATCATTTTTAATTTCTTTCAAAAATATCACCAGTAGATGTGAAGCTTGAGATGTTATGATATGGACATGAACAGATCAACACAACTGAAGCCTTGGAGATATTTCAGTTGCAGTGGTAGTAATTCTATAATAATAAAATATTACATGGTAAATAAGAGTAAATTACAAATAGGTTCCAATCTCTCTTGGCTAACAAGGTTCCTGCTTAAATCCTTGAGTAAGGTGAATATTAAAAAGTTGAGGTCATTAACTGCTTTTGAACAATTAATCATTAATTACTCCTCCAAACCCAAAAACAATCTAAAAAATGTATACATTATTAAAATTGGAAGTAATTGACAGCTATTTCCCCTCCCCCTTGCCTTATAGATTTAAAAGAACCTTGGGATACAGATTTAGTTAAACAAATCAAAAGGTGAAGGTGTAATCCTATCCTATAGAAGAGACGCACTGAAGCTGGTACATTGCTGGCATTTAGCACCAACAGCTCATAATTCATCACAACTTTGGAGCAGTTATAAACTTAAGGGAATATTTTTCACTGTGTGGTTGACTTAAAAAAAAAAATTGCATCTCAGTGGAACACAATATTCAAATAAGTTAAAATAATAACTGAAAAAATGTGTTCCAGAGTTTGGATTATCACATTTTTTAAAATTCAAAAAGCAAAGGAGTTTATAAAATTTTTACTGTTGTTTACTAAGATAACAAATATTCAAAAAGTGAACACTTTTAGATAATCTTTCATTGATCAATTGGCATGCTACAGTATGTTCAATTGCTTATGGAAAAAGTTACTGATAAAATTAGGCTACTGATACGTAAGGGATAGATCACAATAGTTTTGGTTCTGGAAAGATAAATTCAGCAATATATGTAATCCATGACTGAATGTTGCATTATATTGTTCTAGACTTTACCTTGCCTTGTTTCTTTCTTGCCCTATAGACTGTTAAGATGAATAAAAATAAAAATTATACAGATATTAGTATTGTGAGCACAATAATGCAATGGCCAAATCAGTTGCATATGGGATAATAATCTGGATAATAATCTGCTTCAGTTGTAATTAATATAGTGCCCTGAAGAAATGCTGAAGTACATCCCTCATCAACGTACAGTAGATAGCAATGCCATAGTGGCAGAGGAATGAGAGAAGTTGTAGGTTAACACATTTAAAAGACTATCAAAAGAAAGACAGCTAATCTTTTCTCACATGTTCGGGTTTAGTACCTGTATATTGGGAGTTTCCTATCAAATTCTGTACCTGTCAATAGTGGTGTCCCCCAAGGCAGTGTTCTAGGACCAACTCTCTTCATACTCTACATAAATGACCTCTGTGGTCATATTAAGAGCAACTGCGTTATCTTCGCTGATGATGTACAGCTATTCAATACCATAGACAATACTGCTACCCTTCAAAAAGATCTTGACTATGCATCAGAATGGTCAAACAAATGGCAACTTCAAATCTCAACAAATAAATGCTCTGTCTTACATATTGGCAAAAAAAAAAAATCAGAAAATAAAATACAAGCTGAATAGTCAAGACCTTGCTGATGATCAAAACTCTGTCAAGGATTCTGGAGTACTCATCTCTAATGATCTAAGTGTTAGAGCCCACTGTAACTACATAGCCAAAAAGGCATTAAGAGCTGTTAACTAATCCAACGTAGCTTTTTCTCTGGTAATATCACACTACTAATATCACTATCACACTAGCATATAAAACATTTGCTAGACCAATACTCGAATACAGCTCATCAGTCTGGAACCCACATTACGTATCTGACATTAGCACAGTTGAGAAAGTCCAGAAATATTTCACAAGAAGAGTTCTCCACTCGTCTACTCGTTGCAGAATACCTTATGCCACCAGACTTGAAATTCTAGACCTAGAAAACCTTGAATTATGCCGTCTTTGGACTGATCTAAGTATGGTATATAAAATCATACATTGCAATGTCCTACCGGTCAATGAATACTTCAGCTTCAACCATAACAACACTAGAGCAAACAATAGATACAAACTCAAGGTAAACCGCACCAAACTTGATTCCAGGAAATACGACTTCAGCAACAGAGTGGTCAATGTCTGGAATGCTCTACCCGACTCTCTGGTTTCGTCCCCAAACCCCAAAAACTTTAACCTTAGACTGTCTACTATTGACCTCACCCCTTTCCTAAAAGGTCTGTAGGGGGCGTGCATAAGCACACCAATGTGCCTACTGTCCCTGTCCTATTGTTTCTTTTATTTTTCTTATATGTATGCATTTCATGTATTCATAACTACGTTTATAGTTATACCTATTATCTTGTAAGCGATTGACAAATCAAAATAAATAAAAAAATAAAAAATTTCAGTGGTGCCCACATGAAAACAACAACTTCTGTGATTTTCATTATTTCCTCTTTGTTCAGTAAACACGTTATTATAACAGCACATATTAACCATGTCTTCTATTTTGAAAAACTACCAAAAATCTTGCCAATTACAATTACCTTCAATTTTTAGGAGTTCCAGTCTTTTGATAATATTTGTGCATGAAAATTATAGAAGTGATTGTTTTTTGTGCAGATTATTTGAGCCAATTTATTGTGTTCACTTTCTCTATTTATATACTCCCCAAAGATCTCGATTATTTGCTACTACTACTACATTAACTTTTTTGTTTGTTAAAATGGGGGTGGAGGAAAGAAAACAAAAGTTAAAGGTTTCTTTGCATAGAACATGATGTGCCCAAGGACTTGGCTTGAACTGGCTTCTAAACACCTTAGAAAGCATAATTTAATTGCCTTTTTCTGTGAGGAGGTTCATTATTCAGTGAAGTAAACTTGATGATTACATTGACAGAATATACAGTATATTCATATATCCAGAAGCACATACCATAGGTAACCAAAGTTAGAGAAGCCATAATTTTCAACTTTCTTGATAAATGAATGATTAAAACATTGAATTACCCTGCATTTATAAATAAGTCACAAATTAGTTATTAATTTAATTTATTCATCAAATTTAAAGACCACCCATCTCTCAGAGCAACTCTATACAGTGTACAATTAAAAACATAGAAGCCATATGAAAACTATATTTGTAGAAGGAGGCAGTTAAAACATAGTAGGAATAATTAAAATTAGGATTATGTTTTTTTTTAAAGTGGGTTGAGGGCCTTCAAAGCACCCAATCTCAAGGTTGCTTGCTCCTCTGTGTTGGCAATCCTGTATGTTGGCAGAACCAGTTCTTCAAATTCTTCTGAAAGGCCATGAGAGTGGAAGCCCATCTCACTTCAGGGAGAAGGGTGGGGATATTCTAAAGGGCAGGCAGAGAAGGCTCTTTTTGTGGACTCTGCCAGTTGAAATTCTTTAATTGAGTCTCTAACTTACGTTCTCTGCCTGACCAGGTGGAACAGGTTCAGAGGTGGTATTCGGCCAGTTCTGATAGGTTCTGGAGAACTGATAGCAGAAATTTTGAGTAGTTTGGAGAACCGGTAAATACCACCTCTGGTTGGCTCGGCCACATCTATTTGCTGCTCCTGAGTCCCAGCTGATTGGCTGGGTCTTCTTTTGTTGCCCTGAGCAGGAGAACGGAGCTGGAAAGCAGGTTTGTATCCTTCTCCTGGAGTGGGGTGGAAATTGAGATTTTTCAATATTCTTCCCCTACCATGCCCACCAAGCCACGTCCACCAAGCCATGCTCACAGAACTGATAGTAAAATAATTTGAATACCACCACTGGACAGGTTGATGTAATGGGAAAGAAGATAGTTCCATAGGTAACCTGTCTCCATAGCATATAGGTTTTAAAGGTCAAAACCAACAAATTTTATGAAGCTGTGTTGTCTCTGAATTTAGCAGGTTGGTTGAAAGATAGCTCCGAGTTCGGGTTGCAAGGCTTCGGCGGTGGCAGGAATCCACTTCTCTGTGGGTCCCTGCTGCGCTCGCCACTGAGGTACCCCCGATCCAACTGGATTTGGGGGTTGTTGCTACCCCTTCGGGGTATAGAGGAAGATACAGGAGATCCGGGCAGGGGTCTGGGGATAATGCACCCCCTTTCCCCAGCTGGCTAGACTCCTTTTTCCTGAGGCGGTGGAGCGGCTGTCAGTAATGGCAGCCACAAAGGAATCCTCAACCGAATAAGATTGTGCAGGAGGAAGAGCCAGAAGGAGAAGTTTTCTTGGCTGAACCGGGACATTAAGTTACTTTTAAAATACCCTGGAAACCTGACTTTCAGATTGATACATTTGTTTCCAAAAGAAGTTGTTACAGCGGTGAAAGTGCTGAAGGAAAGTTCACTCCCCTTCCTTACGGAGAAAGCAAATGAGCATAGAAAAACCTGCTTTTTAAAGGTAAAAATAAGTTCTTTGTTACAAGTGGGAAGGAGAGGACTAAAAAAAAAAATCTTTAAAAATTTGTTGGAGGAGATGCCTTGAAGATTATAAGACCATCAATTAACTGTAATACGGCTTTTAAAATATATTTGGGATTTTGCCCCTGGAGGAAAAATTGTAAAGAGAAGAAGAGGAAATAATTTTTGTTTGTTTGGATTGTTTGATAACTTTGACATTTGGAAATTACTTTAAGATTGAAAACATCTGGGTTGTTTTTAAAAAATGTACAATGGCACCATCTGTGGATGAACTAAAAATGGAATATGAAAAATTAAAAGAAAGAGAACAAAATGGCAAGGATTCTTTGGGAGCTGTCTTCCACTTTTTAGAAATGGCGGTTTCTACGTATCAGCAAATACTTGAGGAAGAAGGAGAAGAGGAAGAAGAAGAAAACGAAGAAGCCATCTTTAATGGACTAAAAAGTTCGATTAAGAAAGAAAATGGGAAGAGAGGAAGGAAAAATGAGAATTTAAGATTTAATAAAACAACCAAGAAAAAGAAAAATAGGGTGAAAAAAAGGTGCAATGTTAGAAAGTAATTGAAAGAGAATTACAACAGAGAGGGGAAGTTAAAAAGGGGGAGGTTAGGAGAGGGGGGGGCAAAAAGACCAGACTGGAGAAGAAAGGGAGGGGGAAAAGGGGGGAAAAGCCACGGGCTGGAACAAGATGCCAAAAAGCAGATTTTTTTTAGAGATAAAGGATAAAGGATAGTGTATAATTAAAGAAAGATTCTGCAAGAGTACATAAGATAGTATTGTAGTATTTGCATTTGAAATAGTCTATTGGAATATTTAATAAAATATTAAAATATTAAAATGTTTAATAATGATAGATCTCAATATTTAATAAAATATTAAGGAGAATGTGTAAAATGGTTAATGTTTAGTTATAGTTTAATTTGTTATTGTCTTCATGTTATTATAAACTTAGTATTTCATTTTCTTATTCTAAAATAATGTACTAATTAGAATTAGAATGGAAATTACATACTTAACTATACTATAAATTTATTATTCTTTTATTTTAAGATGTAATATGTAGAATGTACTACGCAGAATCAGGATGGAAATTATGTATTATTTTAAGTTTTACTTTAGGGGAAAGATAGAAAGGCGTCACACTTTAAAAGTGATTACAGGGGAAATTCTTTGCTAAAGAGAAGAGATAAATAGATGATTGGAAAAGAACGGACAAAAGATACAAGCATAATGATTTTGAAATAAGATGAAATAAATAAAATATAATTAAGAGAGTGAAAAGAAGGGAGAAGCTATATAGAAAATACAAAATGGTTAATAAGATATGAACGGTATATAAGGTGAGCATGAATTTGATTTAGGTCTGTAAAAAAAGATGTAACCTGGGGCTAAGCCACTTTTCAAATGAAGTCTTATGTTTTATGTTTTGTGTCTTGGTTAGCTATGTTTGATTGTGAATTGATAAAACCTTGGAGGAATAAAACTAAAGGGAGAGAAATTTGGAAAAGACATGTATAAATGACAATTTAGCAGCTTTCATCTTTTTATGTCTTGTTTTATGTTTTGTATTTTGTGTGCTTATGACTGATTGAGAATTAATAAAACCTTGATAGAAAGAAATATAATTGAATAAAAGTGAAGGGAGAAACAATGAGAAATTTGGAAAAGATATATATGTGTTTAAATGGAAATGTGATAATGTGGAACTATGTCTTAAAAATAATGCTTTATTTGCCTTGTTAACATTTATAAGTAATTTTTAGAAAGGAGGTTTTATACTTTTATGTTTTGTTTGTCTTCAAAAATCAATAAAACTTGTTCTTAAAAAAAGAAAGATAGCTCCGAGTTCTTTCTTAAGTCAATTTCACAAAGCTGTACAGTATTTTAAGCAGTTGCTCAGAACACTTTGCAAATAGGAGAAAAAAGCATCAGGTATGCTACTTTAACAAAACAAAGGCAGGATATTAATAAGGAGGACGGGAAGGGTGAGATAATATAATTGGTGTAATAAAATATATTTTATACATTAAGCTTCTGGGGACATTATCCCCCACCTCCAAATTAGCAGAAATAGCCAGATCTTTCCTTTATTGGTTCCTCACATTCCTGAATGATGCGCTGTCCTGGTGTTTTAAGTTTTCAGGTATTCATTCTCACAAGCTTTAGCCTTTGCCTTTGTCCCAGCTCCTAATCTCTTTCTATCCACACGGAAAATAGTCCAAGCAGGTCACCTGCTTTGCCCTAAATTGTTCAGCCTCTCTCAGCAGAGAGGGAGTCAAAACACCAAACAAATTCAGAAGTTGCTTATCTCAGTTGTGGGAGGAGGAAAAGAGCACAGCGTCACTGAAGTCACTGTCCCTTCCAACACCAGCCACAGAATATATTTATGTGGGGAAGTGGCAAGTTGCTGCAGGCAGAACTGACTTCCGTGTATCTTTCAGCACATTAGCATCAATGGGAAGATACAGTGTGAGCCCTGTCCCCAAATGTCTTCTACTGATGTTCCTGGGTTGGTCAGGGCTGAAGTATTACCAAGTGAATGCAGCTCAGCTCAGGGAGTACCATATAGCTGCTCAGCTGGAAGACTGGGATTACAACCCCCAACCTGAGGAGCTATCCAGGTAACAATAATTAGGGGGCAGGATAAGGAATGTAACAGGGGAAATATTCAGATGATTTGTTTAGTGAGCAATGTGAAGCTTCGGGAACCCAACCTGTGTGGTTGGAAAGCCAAGTTTAGTCCACCGTGGTGCTTACTTAGTAATCTACAATTAAGCAAATAAAGTGTTTTGTGAACACAACCAGTAAATAAAGAAGAGCTAATCGATTAGATGGCTTTGGATTCATTTCAAGAGGGGATATGCTATGACTTTCACATTGCTTTGACTAAGAGGTATTGCTTAGCATTTTCCTTTATAGGTCATATATTCCAGTTTGAAACAATTGTTGTATTATATTAAGCAGAGCATTGAAGCTTGCAATTATATTAGGCAGAGCATTCAAGCTTATCTTCAACTGGAATAGTTAAAGTAGCAAGGCTTGGATATTCCTTTTTTTTACGGTGACAATTTGGCTCTGTGATTTCCAATGTATGTTTTTATTATCTCGGTGCACCACTTCGTAGATATAATTCAACAACTGTAGAAGGGAACCATTTTAAATGAACAATGATAAGCACAGTTCAGGAGAAGCTTTACCATTTGATTTAGGATATACATTTTGGTTTGCTTTTATCCTTCTTTCTTTAACCATTGCCAAATGTTTTCATTTGCTTAACAACCTCTCTACTCTTTGCCCTTTAATCTCTACATGCTTTGCAATAACTCCTTATCCAATACCCCCACCATTTATCTAGCTTACTATAGTCTTCTGACCAGCATTCTATCCTCTCAGCTTCATTAATGTTATGCTGCATGTTAAATTTCAATATTCCAATTCTTGTGTTAAAGTTCTGAATGTTTTTTTTCATTCCTACTATTTTCACAGATGCTCCATTCCATTTTTACTTGGCATCTATTCTGTCTTCTTTCTTTTCTCCTATATAGCTGTATGTCTGACTGACTGACCCAAAAATTCTTGTGTACCTTGATAGGATTTCTAGGTATGAGAGTCTCTTTACAATATTACTGGTCTCAACAGCTGTTAATAAATGAGTTTGCATCAATCAGCGGGTTGACTTCTATATATAGATGATTAATAGGACATTCCATCAGCTAATTTCATTCAAGTGTTGTCACAATGCAAAGTAGTGTTTAAAGGTACCGTGTAAGTGGATGGTATGATGTAGATTAATTTCAAGGTATTGTTGAAAGTCCAGATATTTACATGGCCTGATACATTCAGGATTTCCTTTCTCCCCAAATATTTCCTCTTGTCAGTGAAAAACTCCATTACACTATTTCTGGTTCATTCACTGCATTGGGTCAAGGGCATTATAAAGACATTGATAATGTATGGGAATGTGCTTAACTAGCATAGTGAATTTTCAGCCAAAGAGTTGGAATATATTATTTTACTAAATTATTTTGTATGGTTTCAGATTATCAGAGTCAGATCTTACGTTTAAAAAAATTGTCTATAGAGAATATGAACTAGATTTCAAACAAGAGAAGCCAAGAGATGCGCTCTCAGGTAAAGGCAATATTTTCAGACTATATTCAATGTATAGTGTACCTATGATTGCGAACCCAAATGAACTGCAATTCTCAACTTGATTGTCCGAGTAGTTTTTACTATGTTTAAATCCAAGCCTCTGGCAAAATTTGCCCTTAGGAAGTACTTTTGTTGCATGCCCGGATATGGTGCTGCCTGCGTTGATGGGGCACTTCATATCGGGAGACCTTCCACCGTTACTTTCCCTTCTCCCTTGCATTTGGCGCAGCCACGTGCGGCCAGTCAGGGCTCCTCCCTGCAAGCGAAGCCCTGAGGAGACACTTGGCTTCAGGGGCTCCCGTCTTCCCTTTGCTTTCTAAGGTAAAGCGAATTATTTTACAAAGCCTCCCCTGCCCGAGAGGGCAGCCCAACCCCACGTGGGGAGGCTAATCTCCCGGGGCCTCTTCGGTTCCTCCCCGACCTCCCTACACTGCGCGCCTCTGACGCGCCGGTCCCTTCAGCCCAGCGAGCTCTTCCACCTGAAAGAAAGGCGAAGCAGCAGCAGCGGGTCTGAGCCGCTCGCAGCGGAAACAGCCACCACCACCAGCCGCCCGACGCGGGGAGAACGACCGAGGTTAGCGCCCGCCGGCCCGTCCTTCCCGCCTTTGGAGGCACCTGCACCGAGCGCCTCCGCGGCCAGCCTAGCCACGCCGCTTCCGACCGACTCCTTCGGGGGCGCCCGCCGAGGGACTCTTCGCGGCTCGGTTTCCCCTACCGGCGGGTCCTCCTTTCGTGCGGAGGGCTGCGGGGGAAGGCGCTCGCCCGAGAGGATCTCTCCCCGCAAGGTCAACGTCTGCGCTGCGGAGGCTGCAGCCGGTTCCTCCTGCTTGCTGAGAGGTTGAGGAAGCCGCGGCTTTGCAGCGCAAGCGAAGCGCTGCTCGCCCGGGCGAGATTTGGGAACGAGGGGCAGAAGGAGGCAGCGAGCGCCTCCCCCCCGACCCTCCGCTCATCCCGCCAGGGCCGCGCCAGAGCCGGGCTGGGCAGAGCCGGGAAAGCGAGCCGCGGGTGCGTGCGTGCCGCCTCCTGCCCCTCGTTCCCAAATCTCGCCCGGGCGAGCAGCGCTTCGCTTGCTCTGCAAAGCCGCGGCTTCCTCACCTCTCAGCAAGCAGGAGGAACCGGCTGTAGCCTCCTCCTCCGCAGCGCAGACGTTGACCTTGCGGGGAGAGAGAGGGAGAGATCCTCTCGGGCGAGTCAGAGGCGCGTAATAAAGGGAGGTCGGGGAGGAACCGAAGAGGCCCCGGGAGATTAGCCTCCCCAGTGGGGTTGGGCTGCCCTCTCGGTAGCCCTCGACTTACAACCACAATTGAGCCCAAAATGTATGTTGTTAAGTGAGCATTGGTTATGTGAGTTTTGCCCCATTCTACATCCTTTCTAGCCCAGGGGTCTGCAACCATAAATACTAAAAGAGCCATTTGGACCCGTTTCCCACAGAAAACACTGGGAGCCAATAATTTAACAATCGGAGTGACTGGGTGGGCGTGGCCAACTCGACATCACTCACTCCCACCCAGTCACCTCTTGCTCTGGAATATGGACTGAGTCTTCATCCCCTGCCATCCCCTTACCTTCTCAGGCCAGGCGAGGAGTGACAGGGAGGGAGGGGAAGGGCCAGCCAGTGGTGGGATCAGCCAACAGCCAGCAGAGGGCCGAAAGAGCCACATGTGGCTCCAGAGCCTCAGGTTGCAGACTCCTGTTCTAGCCACACTCGTTCAGTTAATCATTGCAGTTGTTAAATTATTAGCATGGTTGTTAAGTGAATCTGGCTTCCCCATTGACTTTGCTTGTCAGATGGTCGCAAAAGCTGTGCATATAATCCCAGGACACTGCAACTATCATAAATATGAATCAGTTGCCAAGCATATAAATTTGATCACATGACCTCAGGGATGCTGCAATGGTTGTAAGTGTGAAAAATGGTCACAAGTCACTTTTTCCATTGCCGTTGTAACTTTGAACAGTCACTAAATGAACTGCTGTAAATCGAGGGCTACCCGTTTAGTTAAAGCAGCGGACAAAGGAAGCAAGTTAAAGTCTTGGGTCTACTCATCCAGCTACGTTCTTTATGTGGCTGCTCAGTTTCCCCATTCATTCATATAGGCCAATGTGCATCTTACAGATAAAATGCTAAGCCACTATCTCTTTGCCTGAGTATAATTTGTCAGGTGGATTATTTTGGAATATAAGTGCCATGATGACCTTCTTGGGGGGAGATAGGGATGGATAGCTAGAGAACAAAATAAATAAACCCCTGCTCAGGAGAAAATATTAAGGTATTTATTTGCTATTAAACCGTAGCTAATTAATTTTACAGGAAGACTTCTCACTTCCCTTTCTGTACCTTTGCTGCAGTCAGTTTATGTTCAGGCCATAAGAAAAAGAAAACAAATATTCTTTCAAGCATCATTTTTATGTTTAATTATTCTCTTTAAAATATTTTATCAATGTACTTTGAGCAGGGCTCCTAGGGCCAACACTACGTGGAGAAGTGGGAGACAGCCTCATAATTTATTTCAAGAATTTTGCTACTCAGCCTGTGAGCATTCACCCGCAGAGTGCCGTGTACAACAAATGGTCAGAAGGTAAACACTGCCATAATATTGTCTGAATATCCTGATCATCTCTATCTTTGGTAGATTTGAAACATGGCATTAAATTCTAAGTAAACGTGGTTAGGATTGTGCATGTGGGCAACAGCTGGCAACGACAGAAGCAGACACCTAAATGTTTCTGAGGCATAGAATTTGACTACTTCATGGATGGTTTGAAGCCTCAACCACAATTGAGCCTTAAACTTCTGTCGCTAAGTGAGAGTTAAATGAATTTTGCCCAGTTTTACAATCTTTCTTGTCAAAGTTAAGTGAATCACTGCCGTTGTTAATTTAGTGATATGGTTGTTTAGTGCAGGGGTCTCCAACCTTGCCCACTTTAAGACTTGTGGACTTCAACTCCCAGAATTCCTCAGCCAGCTTCTCTTATGACTTGGTTTGTCATAAGGTTGCAAAAGGTGATCCCGTGATCTTGGGACATGCAACCGTCATGAATATGAACCAGTTACCAAGTATCCAAAATTTCATTCTGTGATCATGGGGAGGCTGCAACAGTCATAAGTGTTGAAAAACGTTTGTAAGTCGCTTTTTTCAGTGACACTGTAATTTCAAACAGTCGCTAAATGAACTGTTATAAGTTCAAGGAGTACCTGTGGATAGTTTTCTTCATTATTTCTTCATTTTTCAGGGGTTTGTTAATACTTTCAAAATATGTAGCTTAGCAGAGTTCTATCCTTGAATGTTTTTTTTTGGGGGGAGGGGGGTGAACAGGGGTGGGTTTCAAAAATTTTAGCAATGGGTTCTCTGTCTGGCTGCTGGGTGGGTGTGGCCATGGTGAGCATGGTCTAGTCAGCCTCCTGCACCAGGATGGGGGGATGTTTTTTCCCTCCCCAGACTCCGGAGGCTTTCCTCGAGCCACCGGGAGGGCGAAAATTGCCTCCCCAGGCTCCGGAGGCTCTCTTGAAGCCAAAAACAGGCCCTTTTCCAGCCTTCCCAAACTTCCGGGAGGGCAGTTTTTCTCCCTCCCCGAGCCTCCATGCCAGTGGTAGGATTCAATTTTTTTTACTACTGGTTCTTTTTTTTTACTACTGGCTTAGTGGGCGTAGCAGGTGAAGGAGACTGTAAAATCTCCAGTCAGAGGTGGTATTTGCCGGTTCTCCGAACTACTCAAAATTTCCACTACCGGTTCTCCAGAACTGGTCAGAACCTGCTGAATACCACCTGTGCTCTACACGCGCCCTCCACTTACCTGCCTCCAAAGGGGGCTGGGTGGGAACTCCTGGGAGGGGTGTGGTGGAGTGGGTGGGGCCAGCCAGGAGTGGGATTTGGGTGTTCTCCAAACTGCACAGAATCTTAGATAGAGGATCTTCCGAACCCCTGCAAACCCCCAGCAGCCCACCCCTGGTTGTGAGCCTTCAATCTAGTTGAAGCCTATTACAGCAAAATTGGGTATTCCAGTTCCCATGTTTGGTAGGAAAAGCAACTTTGAGTTTCCCAGACCCAGATCATTTCATTTGATCCTCTTGCAACTCTGCTGGCTCTCCATCAAGTTGTCTAATGGTATTTAAGTATGATCTTCGGAACTGAAGTTGAGAGAAGCTGCGACTGTGGGCTGCTGTCTCTTATCTGATCACTTCCTAGGTAGCATCCCTTTGCCCAGCCCACAAAGTCACTTCCACTTTCACTCAGTTTTGCCTCATTTAAAAAAAACCTTCAGGTTTGTTCCGCCATCTCTCACACACAAAATCAGACAAAAATATTCAACATGTGGTGTAAACATGGAAGGGCACACCAACAACTTATTTGGTTTTTATATAAAAACACCAAGGAATTATATTTTTGCAGTCTCATTAGTCAGCTGAAGGAAGGTCACTAAATCAGCCCAGAATATTTTGGATTTGCAGGAGTGAGGATAATCCTAAGACTTGACTATTAATCATAAATATTAAATAGTTTTAAACATTTGATGTTTATACTGTATTAATCATAAACATTTATAATTAAATATTTTAAATATTTAAATAAAATTATTTAAAATAGTTTGAAGAGGTTGAAGAGTAGAAGTGGAGCCAAATAGAAGAGCTCTTGGACTGTGCACATATAGAACTCATGAGTAGCAAAAAAAAAAAAAAAAAGAGGAGCAGTGAGATATAGGAGAACTAAAATATGGATTAAGATCTCTATTTTTATCATATGTGGAAAACCAAAGAAGGACCCAATTTTCAACCAGATCTGTAATAGAATTAGCAAGTGTATGGATGTCCACTCACATTCATGTGCATTTATTTTACAATGGCATTGTTGGTAATGAATGAGTGGTGCGGTGGCCTAGAGGTGGAGCTTCGCCTCACAATCAGGAGGCTGTGAGTTCTATCCTGGGTAGAGGCAGATATTTCTCTGACTAGGCATGATGAGAATATATCTGCTGAATATAACTCAGTATTGGTGACAGGAAGGACTCAGCTCCATTCAGTTGCCCAGATTCCACCCACAAGGGATTACGGGGGTCATTAAAAGATGATGATTATGATGATGATGATGATGATTGTTGGTAATGAACCATGATAGCCTCTTTCCTTTGCCATTGTAGGTTCTTCATATTCTGATGGAACATCAGATGTGGAAAGACTGGATGATGCTGTGCCTCCAGGCCAGTCGTTCAAGTATGTGTGGAATATCACTGCAGAAATTGGGCCAAAGAAAGCTGATCCTCCCTGTCTCACTTATGCGTACTACTCACATGTAAACATGGTGCGAGACTTTAATTCTGGTCTCATTGGTGCTTTGCTGATATGTAAAAAAGGTAACAAAATGTGTACAGAACCTGCAGCCTGTTTCGAGTGTTGATCATTGCTATTTTTCTGTTCATTTTTGTATTTCTATCCGCTTAATGTTTATCTTTCATAGGGTTGTTGATATTTTTTTTTAACAAAGATTGAGGCAGAATTATAAAGGCTATTACATAATTGGAAATTCTGCTACTTGGTTTTCAAAAGCTTACATTGTACCCAAGACGGTCTCCATATAGAGATGGCAGTAAGAGCCATATAAATGTATGGCAACAATGATGAAATGGAACCTAGTACCACCTTCAGAATTAAGTGTGCAACTTACTTCACAAAACTCATAAGAACATAAACCTCAATAAAGCTGTTTAATCTTGAAAATGCTACCGGTCTCTATATCTGTCATCAAAGATGGATAGGGACTATTTCTGTGCTGCTGGAGAGGAGAGAATTTATGGCATCTGCAACAGACAATATACTTTGTCCCTTAGTTCAGTTGTGATTTTACTTTTGTGATTTTACAGCTGATGATATGAATTTTTGAAACAAAATAATTAACCAAGTTAATAGAATTAGTAAATTCAATGTTCACCTTTCAGGTGTTATAATTATTCGTTTAAAGCACAAGACAATTTGCTGATTTTTTATAGTATAATCTTGGGGGCTCTAGGACCAGAAATAAGGGGTGAGGGGCTCCATGGCCTGTAGCCAAGGTTGTCCATCTCTGTAATAGGTAATCTTGTAATAGATAATCTTGGTAACCTTTTACTTATCCTTAATCTATGTTGTGTCAGCTTTGAAATTCAGCTGCCACATTTTTTTAGAGAGTTAGAGGAGTTGAAAAGTTCAAGGTTATTCTGTATGTTGTATTAAGAATTTCCAGTTGCAGTTAAATGGTTCTCGTGATTTATGAAGTGTAGAATGGGAGGAGAGAAGGGAGGAGAGAAGGTGGATTCTGTGTAACGGAAAATACTTTCATTTGGGAAATTGGTTTTGACATGCCAGATCTGTTTCTAATAAATCAACTGGAGAGATAACGACTCGGAGTGATTGATATCATGGATACTTTCTGGATGCCTTACATGTTGATCCTCAATTCCCCTAAGAGTTAGGTGGCATAGTGAAAGGTTTTGTTGCACTAGAGGCTGACAATTTAAAATATATTTGTTATTCAAGAAGTTATTGTAGTATTTGATAATTTATTCCATCTTGTCATTGTCCTATTCTTTTTTTAGGAAGCCTGAATGCAAATGGTGCACAAAAATTCTTCAACAGAGAATATGTGCTGATGTTTTCTGTGTTTGATGAAAGCAAGAACTGGTACAGAAAGCCCTCACTACAGTACACAATTAATGGGTTTGCCAATGGAACATTGCCTGGTATGTCCTCTTCCATATTATTGATTAGAATGAAATTACAGGCATTTCTATGACAACTACAGCAGCTGTTCTTTTCTTCCAGATGTTCAGGCTTGTGCTTATGATCATATTACCTGGCATTTGATAGGAATGAGTTCCAGTCCTGAGATCTTCTCTGTTCACTTCAATGGACAAACCTTGGAACAAAACCATTACAAAGTGTCAACCATCAACCTTGTCGGAGGTGCCTCAGTAACAGCCAACATGTCAGTGAGCAGGACAGGAAAATGGCTAATATCTTCTCTGGTTGCAAAGCATCTACAAGGCAAGGTTTTCTTTATTAGCAGGCAAGCTGTATAATTACAATTAAAAATTCATTCTCTTGTGTAGAACTCATACAAATCATCATATCCCAAAGACAGTAGCATGAATGGGAGGTACGATTTGCAAAATGATTCCAGAACAGCAGGAACTATGTTCCATGACAGTTGCCATACCTAACCATATCCTACATGCCTAGAATCTGTAACCATAGCATTTCATATCCCTCTAAAGCTATGGTTGTAGACTATGTGGGTTTATTTTTGCTCTAGGATGATGCTAGAAAGAGAAAAAATAATAAATATAGAAAGACTAATCACATTCACTGTACTTTGATTATTTTTTTCATTTTAGGCTTGCCTATCTCTTTTTCCTGCCTCCACCCAGTTTTCTGAAACCAGTTTCCAACCCTAAATTGTAATACCACCTTCTCTCCTTTAAACCCTCAGATACTGATTATGTGTATGTGTGCATGTACATACATACATGCATATATATATATATATATATATGTATATGTATATGTATGTATGGTATTCAGCTTTGTTCAGGTATTTTCCCACGTCATTATAGTTGTGCTTTTAAAGTTGTAGCAACGTTTTGGCAGAATCTCATCTGCCATCATCAGGCTTCTGTATAGTGTTCGTCTGTGACAGACAGCATTCTGCACAAACAGAAAAATATCCACCATCCTAAGAAACCCCAAAGACAAAATCGAATTAGAAAACCAAGGAGTATACGAAATCCCCTGCACTGCCTGCCCCACCACATACATTGGACAAACTAACAGAAGAATAAATGCACACATTGAAGAACATAAGAACTCAATCAAAAAAGAAGAAATGACCTCTTCCCTGGTCCAACACCTCAAAACCACAGGACATGAGATTGACTTTAAAAATACCAGAACCATCGCCAAAACCGAACACTTCAACAGCAGAATAATCAGAGAAGCCATAGAGATAGAAAAACGCCCACACAGCATGAACAAACGAGATGACACCTCCCGCCTTCCAGCCATTTGGAAACCCGCCCTCATGAACAGACGAGTACCTAACATGAAGAAGGACACCAGACCCACACCCATGAGAGCCACACAAGATGCCACCACCACACTTCCATGTAGAAAACAGACTCACACCCACTCAGAAGATGAGACACGACCATGGACCAGAAGCTGCACTGCAGCTGCATCACTACCCACTTCAAACCCCTCCGAGCCATACATGAAGCAAACCGACACCCACTATGAAGATGCAGCACGACCACGAACTCGAAGCCAAACAGCAAGATCACAGCTCACCAACTCAAATCCCCCAGCAACTAAGACTAACCTGAGCACAACCAAGCCCCCACCTGAACAGAACACGCCTCCAGCCAATCAGAACACGACCAACCCCCCAACCAATCAGAACACAGCCAAACCCCCTACCAATGAGAACACAACCCCACCCAATCAGAACACAGCCAAGCCCCCACCCAATCAAGTCACACCCCCACTAGCAGTTAAAAAGAAGAAGCAGCTGCAATCTCACATCACTCAGAGAAGCACAGAGCTGAAGACAGAAGCCTGAAGATGATGAATGAGACTTCATCGAAACGTTGCCTAGGTACTTCGAATCTTACGCGGGAGAAAACCCGAACAACCAAAGATCCACATACAAATACCCACGAGAACCTCAGAATATATATATATATATATATATATATATATAAATTTTGATTGTACAAAAAAAAATGTTAGAGACACTGAATAATGGCATTTATTTATTTATTTATTTATTTATCAATCAATCAATCAATATTTTCACGTTCGAAAGACTTAGGGTGACTAATAGAACATGAGAGCACAAAATAAAATATCAATAAAACACTATGGGTAGCAGGTAACTCCCATAACTAAAACAGATTTACAAAACATACTAGACCAGAATCTGTTCTTCAGGGTATTCCTGGTCATTCAAATCTTGAGAGACATGTTCCATAAGGAGATGTGGCACCAGAGAAGACATGCTTGATCTATTGGCTATTAACTTATGATCTCCAGTTGTAGATGAGTTGAGATGAAGGGAGTTAGAGTGCAACGCATTAGAAGGAACAAATTAAGGGTGCCTGCTTTATCTTCTACTTTTTTTCATATCTCAAGAATAAATTATACCTATAGCTATTATAACCTGAAACCTGGTTTATATGAAATTGCTTTTTGCTGGAAGATACTTTTTTGTGAGCATACATCAAGTCACTGAAAGGGTCTCTTAACACAAAAATTAAGCTGTCAAAAGTAGTTTGGAATATAGACCTGCAATTCTATATGTACACAACTTGTTTAAATCTGTAAGAATTATGTATCATTCATAGATATTGTTTTGTGGGCTTAAGAGAAAGAAATTCTTGTTGCTTCTTGGAAACATACATTTTTAATATAAAATGGGAAATATTTATTTTTAGTGCTCACTTCAGCAGCACATATACTAAAATTGGGAAATATTTATTTTTAATCTAAACAGTCCGAAAGGCAACATGAAGAGCAAATAGATATGTGTGTACTATAACCTTTAATATATTTTATTACTCTTGTCCCATCTACTTATTAATTTAGCTGGGATGTATGGTTATCTAAATATCAAAGACTGTGGAAATCCAGATACTTTAACAAGAAAGTTATCCTTGAAACAATGGAGGAAGATTAAGAACTGGGAATATTTCATTGCTGCAGAAGAAATCACCTGGGATTATGCTCCAGAAATTCCTAGCAGTGTTGACAGGTAACTTGACTGAATGTGGTTAAATGGATGAAATGATTTCATAAAAATTCATAGGATTTATCCCAAACTAAGGCCTTGTAGACCAGGGATCCCCAACCGCAGGTCCATGGTCTGGCACCAGGTCACAGCATGTCAGAAACTGGACCATGCAAACAAGTGAAGCCCCATGAATACAAGCTGCACACAAAACCACATCCCCTCTGGTCTGCAGAAAGACCTCTCTTCATGGACCTGGTCCCTGGTGCCCAAAAGGTTGAGGACCGCTGCTCCAGACCATTTAAATTAAGTGAAACACATTTTCATCATGTTAAATTATAAAGTATGAATCTCTCTCTTGCTTCTCAATTCCATAAAGTAAATGTTTACTGTTATGCTGTATGTAGAAGTCATTTCATATTACATCATATTACATTTTTAATTAATCTTTCTATTTTCATACAATTATGCAGGGAAAACAAAATGGCAGAATGAAAGAATGAAAAATGCATAATAGAAATTCATTCACAGTACTGTCATAGTTCCATTCTTTTTTCAATAAACCCTCATCTCATTCACTTCTTTAGTTTAGGAATTAAAATTTCTTTGTCACAAAGTTTTTCCAAAAGATCTTTGAGATTTTCAAGATATTACATTGTCACAGAAAGAATCTCTTGCTACTATTTCAGTTTTTAAAACCTTGTACATTGGGAGGAGAGCAATTCTGAAAAGAAAAAGAAGATATTTGAGGAAGATTAAAGCATCGTATTCTGTAGCACTTTTTCATTTTTATTCTGAAGCTATCAGATAACAGATAATCAGAGTTGGAAGGGACCTTATAGGTCATCTAGTCCAACCCTCTGCCCAAACGGGAGACCCTACACCATTTCTGACAAATGGCAGTCCAATCTCTTCTTGAAGGTCTGAAGTGATAGTGTTCCCACAACTTCCGAAGGCAAGCTGTTCCATAATTTCCTTGTCCTGGATTAAGTATGCAGTGTGTTATTGGAAGTATTCAAATTTTCAAATATAGGAGGTGACTGAATTATTTTTGAGTTTGTTGACATAAATGTAAAAACATGACAAGAAACTGAAGAGAATGTTACTGCAGTGAATTAAAACAATAAAGTTGGAATTCAGTACCCATCAAGCCTGTCAGAATAGCCAAGAGTTATTGATAATAAGAGAAGTGTCTGACCAGAGTCAGGAATGAAAGTGCTATCACTCAATAGCATTAGAGGGTCTAAGACCCATCACCTGATTCTGTATTTATTTGGACATCTATGTATACAACTTTTTCTGTTTTTTTTAAACTACATTTTACATATGCTGGTTGTTTATCATGTAGATTTGTAAACACTGATTTACCCACTCATGGAAGATTTTGGGCTTTTTTGGTGTGTGTGTGTTTCTATATAAGAAATCTTACTAATGTCTATTTTTTTTTCTCAATTCTAAAGCAGATACAAAGCTCAGTATCTGGATAATTTTTCAAATTTTATTGGCAAGAAATACAAAAAGGCAGTTTTCAGGCAATATGAAGACGGCAATTTCACTAAACCGACCTATGCCACTTGGCCCAAAGAACGTGGAATTCTGGGCCCCGTTATCAAAGCTAAAGTCAGAGACACAGTAACAGTAAGTATTGATGAACAAGTAAGTAGATTACAATCCCATTTTATTTCATTTGCACACAGTAATAGAATTAGCTTTAAATATATTTTGCTTATCCAATGCATACATAATCTTTACTGATATCAAGACTAAGCTATTCAACTATCAATAAAAAGTAAAGGAACTTGGATAAGAATAACTGTTCATATTTACTTATATGAAAGTTCTTAATTTCTATAATTTTAACCATGTGTTTCTTGTGGATTTCTCCACTGACAGAATACTTTATCTGTAAAAGCCTTTAGTTTATCTGCTTAATATCTATGGTATTTATCCTGCATATGTTATTCATGTCTTATTCTTGGTAACAGTAAATTCAAATGAATGAGTTTCAGTACCTTCACTTCAAATGAAGTACATGTGATCCTTGCTTAGTGACCATTTATTAGTAATTGTTTGAAGTTATGTTACTGCTGAATGGGGCTTATGACCATCGCTGTAGCGGTTGCCAGTGCAGTATCCCCACGGTCACATGATTGCAGTTCAGGCACTTGGCAACCAGCTGATGATGCAGTATCCCAAGAGCACATGATTTCCACTTGTGACCTCACTACTGGCTTCCAATATGCAAAGCCAAAGGGCAAACCAGCTGTGAGGCAATCCACACCATATCACATTTAACTATTGTGTGGGATTCACTTATCAATGGCAACTAGAATTACTGTGTAAGTCATCATGGTCATGTGACATTGTTCTTTACAACTTTGTTGCTAGCAACAGAATTGCCACTCTCAATTACCATCATTAAGTGAGGATCAGCTATCAATTCAGTTTGGTCACTCTGAGAACAAGTTTGGTCTAATGGTGAATTCACCAGGCTGAGTTCTAAACCCACCATAGCCATGAAAGCCAACTGGGTGATCTTGGGCTAGTCACTCTCTCTCAGCCCAACTTACCTCACAGGGTTGTTGTTGTGGGGAAAATAGGAGGAGGATGGTATATTTTTGCCAAATATAACAAAGGCAATAAATAAATAAATATTGAGTAGATATTTCACACAAATTTTACGCTAGTGATATCTGGCATCATCTGTGGCAAAGTAAAGCCTGGATACTTATAATGTCACAGAAATGGTTGGATCCAGGGAAGGATTTCTACCAGTTCTGTCCACCTCTGTAGAACCGGTAGCTCTGAAGAGCAGCAGACATAGAACCGGTTCTATGTCTGCTGATGTTTTTGCCCACCCACCTACCCGGGCTCTTACCTGATCTTTATTTCCTGATTTTTCAACTTCAGCTGCCGAACAAGGCACAGCTGCAGTTAAAAAAGCAGGAAAAGAGGGCTGCTTTAAAGGCTGCTTCTCTGAACGCAGACTGCTGATGACGATTTACAGGCGCGCAGCTCCCAGCGTGCAGGGAAGCTCGTAAATCCGAAACCGGTAGTTAACCCTGACATATCCCACCCCTGTTTGGATCGTGCTATAAACTGCCTATATAAAAATAATAACTGTCTAAATTAAAAAAAAACAATGATATATTTCAACATAATCTTATAAAATCTACTAAGACCCAGGACTAATGAGAGACACCATAAAAGCTTTACCAGGTATTGGGGAGTTCTAGATTATACACATACCCGTTTTAGGCACTGGAAATACACTACAATTGTTCTTTTTATATAAAATGTAAAGTAAATTCTCTTGTTTAAAGAATTTCCAGTATCTTTTAATTTTTACCTCAATTTTCCCTAAGCTGAAGCTCTTCAGGAGAAGCATATTCTGCATTCACGTATAATATTGTCTGTACAATCATAATTGTTCAGACAAAACACTGTGGAAGAAAATGTCATAAATAAAATCTACAATTGTTGATGCTTTAACTGAGTTTGAATTATACATTGAATTATATATTTTTGTAATATAATTAATCATTGCAAGCAACTTTGTATTTATAATGAAAGCCTAGTTAAACAGGAAATGCTTTACACTTCATTTTGTGGCAATTTTACTTTATTTTTCTACAACTAAGCATATAAGAACCGTAATATCAGAGTTTTCTACTAGCATTCTTTTGGAAAGGAAATAGTTGTAGGTACTTATGTATGTATATATATAAAACTCAAATATGTATGTATGTATATGTATATATATGCTTTTTATTTTAAAAACCTATTAATAGAACAAAGCATGATCCTAATAGAATTTTTTTCTTGGTACACTCCAGCCATTGGATTTGCTATTTGATACCAACCACTAATATAAGAGCTCCTCTCTCTGGATGTCAAATAAATAACTTGGGAGAAGAACTGTGACTTCATTAGGGTTTTTCTTTGAAACCATGGTTTTCACAGATGTTTAACATGGTACAACTTGACTCATCTTGGGTTATATATTTTTAATTAGTCATAAAGATTGTTTGTGGTATTTAGTAAGTCTGTACTAATGTCCAAAACAATTTGGAAGAACTTGTATAAGTGTAGTACCTATTATCCGTTAAAGCAGCACAACTTTTTAGAAGGTTTAAGAGTCATATTAACTTTTTTTAAGTTTGTGTGAAAGTCTGAAAGAATGAGTTTATTTAATAGGTATTCCACTCACAAGATCGGCAAGGCATTTTCCCAAATCATTTTTGAAATCCCATCTGTGTTCTATTCTTATGCTGCATGCTTTTACTACAATTTATTTATTCATTGTTCTACTAGAAAATGGGGATGCATATAAAAGGGATGACAATGTTAGCTAAATTTTGTATAAAAACCAGCAGTATTGTGATGCTAAACATATTGGATTTCCATTTTAAACAGATTGTATTCAAAAATCTGGCCAGTCGACCTTACAGCATTTATGTGCATGGAGTTTCCGTTTCAAAAGATGCAGAAGGAGCTATTTATCCTTCAGATCCCAAAGGTTGGTTAGGAATTATTTCTCCCTTCCCTCTCTGCTGTCTTCTGATTACTTGTGCGGCTTCCCAATAGGCTCAGCAAAAGTCTGGTCTTACTGTTGTCTCCCTTTTAAATAATAAAAAGAAAATGGAAATCTATTTTAAGAGCTTTTCAATTAATTATAAACAATGTACTAAGAATCAGAAAGAGAAGTGGGATCATTCTGGTGAGCAGCCCCTTAAAGCTCAAAGCAGGAATCCTTGTTCAACTCTCTCTGGCAGACAGCTGCCTACCCTCCACATGAATACATCCAGTGAAGGAACTTACCATCTGTTTGGTAGCTGGTTCTAATTCTGAACTGCTTTTACTGGCATTTTGTTGGAATGGAATGAGAATTGAGCCTCCAGGTGTCCTTACTAACTAGACCAGACAGGAGACATGACCAGATGAACTAATTTTACTTTATCGTGAAACTATATTAACAGAATCTTGAAAGTATGAAAATACAATTCCCTCCCCATCTCTTTTATAGCCCAAGAAACTAGGAAGTCTTCTGAGCCTTTTGCCCCACCGTCCACTTTATGCTATGCTGTTTCTTATTCAACTGTTCTCTAGACAGCATCTCTGGAGCCAATCATCCAAGGTCTTTCCCATATTCCATTATATCAATAGACAATGCAGCTCATTGGATGACTTTACTAAACAGGGTTCGAACACTACTATGCTAAGCCATGGTTCCCTTAGTAACATTTTGCTAAAATCTAATTGATTGGATAAACTTGGTTTGTATATTGCAATGGATACGTTTTGTCATCAAAACAAACTAGTTTAGAATGAAATATAAACCAAACTCCTACCTGTACTCAACCTACTTTCATAATTTTTTCATTGTGAAAATAAAATGAGGGGTGATCCCTTGTGCATAATATAAATGTTAAAAAAGAAATAACATCCATAAAAATAGGTATAGAAAGCAAAATGATTAAGTAACTAAGTTGTTATGTAATAATCCAATGGAAGACAATGTAATAACCAGATCCAAATTGTTTCATTCTTTGGTCTGCATAGAGTTTTACTTTACTTGCTTATGGTAAAGAACTATAATTCTCCATGTGCTGTCAAACTACAACTGAGAACATGCTTCACTACTGACCATTCAGTCTGTAGTTTCTCTATAGAAAATTGAGCAGCAACTAGAGATTTTCAGTTTCTTACCCATGCTTTACATGATCTTTTTTGCCATTATATTTTAGAGAATATAACTCATGGCAAAGCAGTTGAACCAGGACAGGTCTACACATATAAATGGACTGTGCTGGATACAGATGAACCTACAGTAAAGGATTCTGAGTGCATTACTAAATTATATCATAGTGCTGTGGACATGACAAGAGATATTGCTTCAGGACTTATTGGGCCACTTCTGGTTTGTAAACGCAAGGCACTCAGCGTCAAGGGGGTACAGGTATTGTCAACTGTTTCAATTGAGGGAACAAAATGATGACACATTGACACAACTTACTTAGATTCAGGGGCAGTATGGCTCTACCATTACCATTTACTGGGAAACCCCGGGGTTTGAGGTTGCTTCTGTCTTCCTTTTCGATATGGCTTTCAGTATGAATTGTCAAGCTCCCCAGACCATGATTTTATAGTAATGTAATAATTTTAAAAGGTAAAGATAAGAGACGGCAAGTGTAATGAGATATTCCTCTCCCTCACCAAAGCCTGGGTAAAGATCTAGGTCTTTATGGCCCTTCTAAACAACAGCAGAATAAGGGCCATCTGGATCTTAGTGGGAAGCTAATTCCAGGGGGCAGGCACTACTACATAGAAGATGTGTTTTCAAGGTCCTGATAAAATATATTGTTTAATTGTAATTGAAAAACTTTTACCACCAAGGAATAATTGCTAATAAGGCTTTTACATTATTGGTCATGCTCTGAATCTTCCTCCAACAGCACTACAGGAGTCTATTCTAGTGCTTCATTTCCTAGAGCTTCTTATTAAACCAAGGTGCACCCCAAGATCAGCACACCCAGAGGAGGCCACATAGGCATGATATGATTCAAGGCTCTAGCTGAGGCCTACATGATACTCAGAAAAAGCCCCAAGCTTTCTCTGAAACCCCACTGGATCTATAAATCCCCATGGGTGGGTTGATTGACTGGGTCTTGACTCCTTGCAACTAGGGAGTAATCTGTCATGGCAATGGACAGGTGTTGATGTCCTCCATTGCCAGATCAATCTTAACCGTTGACATAGAACCAATGAATTCCTGACCTGCCCTTGTTTCAGTGTCCCTAGATGGCATATTGAAGTTGCCATGCACCAACAGCCTTGAGAACCCTATGTTCTGACCCAACCGGGTTCCCAAAGAGCAAACACAGACAAAGGCAGCAGCCCCCACCTTTTAAGGTTTAATAATGAATTCTGTTTTGAAGGCTGCTTTCCACTAATTAGCTCCGACAAGAAAGAGCCTTGCCAAGTTGTTTGTCAAGGCTGCCAAAAACCCAGAGATAAGAACTAATTTACAAAATTCTCCACGAACTAAGATGTCCACAAGTTGAGTTTAACAACTTCTTTGCTGTCTGCAAAGAACGCTTTTGCAAACCTGGCTTTTATCCTTTTGACGGATCCTTTACCTTGCAGCCTTACTCCCAAGTTGCCTGTGCTGCTGTAATTGTTCTTTCCTCTGAGTAATCCTTCGTGCACATGCCCTTGGCACAGGCTCCTCAGGAACCTCCTCATCACTGCTGCCAGCCCCCACAATCTCTGAAGGCAGCAGTTCACTCCCTGATGGTCCTGGCCCCTCATCAGAGTCATCACTCTCCTCAGCCATCTGCACCTGCTTCTGGCTAACCACAACACCCTACTGCCAACCTAGCAATGGAATCTAGTAGCTGATTCAGGAATGCTGTGAGCAACAGGGAAAGCTGTATCACAACAGCACTCCCAAGTGTACACTTAAACCCAAATCAGCTTTCATATAATCTGTTACTTCAAATGCAATCTGAACAATCTGCCTTGGACAAAGAAAGCCTTGCTTATAATATGGATATACAAAGACATCGATAATAATACTCAGGCTATCTCTGTATACAACGTAATTATTTTATTTATCTGTTTCCAAATAATCCCCTTTCGTTGCTCATTCCAGCTTTATTTCATTTGAATGTTATACATTATATTGTTATGCTGTTGTTTTTAAAAACAAGGAAGTGCGTGTCAAATGGCATATCATTCTATTAGTTGAACTAGATCTATTTTCTACTATCATTGTGCAGAATTCAGCTGATGTGGAACAGCATGCAGTCTTCGCAGTGTTTGATGAAAACAAGAGCTGGTACTTGGAAGACAATATCAAGAAATACTGCAGCAATCCTTCCACTGTTAAGAAAGATGACCCTAAATTTTACAAGTCCAATGTTATGTACAGTGAGTAGCAACCTAGGTCACTATTTTGTTTTGTGTTTACTCAACATCATTAAGATTAAATGAATATTAAAAATAAAAATGGAAAATATGCTATTTTTACAATATTAATTTTATGTCTTTGATTCTAAAGACATTTAACTTGGAATAGCTTCTGTTTAACTATTGAGATTCATTGTTCGAGTAGCTATTCTTAAGATTGCACTCCTAATTGCATTTTGAATTTTATTTTAGCACTCAATGGCTATGCATCAGATAGAACAGAGGTTTTGAGGTTTCATCAGTCTGAAGTTGTTCAATGGCACCTCACCAGCGTAGGTACAGTGGATGAGATTGTTCCAGTACATCTTTCTGGTCACACCTTCTTATCCAAGGGAAAACATCAAGATATTTTAAATCTTTTCCCCATGAGTGGTGAATCTGCTACTGTAACAATGGACAATCTAGGTAAACAACAATAGCTCTGCGCTTGGTTTTTTATTTCAGACTGTATAGATAGTTCTATAATTGAGCTCTCAGAATTGTTTGTCACATTATTAAAAACTTTATAAAATTCATTGTATAAAAAAGCACAAATTCCATCAAATAGCCTAAAAACATCATAGAGAATTATTATTCCCATTTTATGGGAGCTTGAAAAATATCTATTGACAATAACATTTAGTCTAATAATTGGAAGAAAAAGCATTTTAAAAACCACAAGTATAACATTTCCAAAGTGCTGAAGGACTTGAGTTTATATGTTTCAAGCCTTCTCCTAACTCTAAGGGGAAAGGAGACAAGGGGGCGACCTCAGAATACCTAATCTATTATGGAGAAAATAGAATTAGTTATTTATATTAAATGTTTGTGGCACTCAAGATGATCAATTGAGATGCAGTAGATAATATGGTAATTTGGGCCTGAGCTTTGTATATAGAATTAAACCTGAAAAACAGTCAGTAGCCAGTGCAAGTGATTCAACATGGTGCTTTGTGTCACTTATCTCCTGTATTGTTGAATTCCAGGCCAGTGGAGTTTCCAGACCACCCCCTAAATAATTTATTTCATAATCCAACTTTGTAGTTATCAGTTCATGTATTAATGATGCCAAATCATTCTCCATGGATGACATGCCTGGCTTATCAACTGAACCATACAACTTAATACCATATGTGTGCTCCGGTTTTACAATATCACTGTTCATTCAGGAGTAATGTCCAAGCTGTGAATATGAACCTTAAGATTCAGATTCTGAATCTGTCCAGATCACATATGACAGCAAAGTTCCAAAGACTGGCTCCTGGAATCAACTATCACTTCATGTTCAATTTTAATTTTAAGTCACTTTTTAGTAAGTCCTTTATGGCCAGGAGATGCATAGTTCTGAAGACATCCAAGTTTGAGCTTCAAGAAAAGAGAAGGGTAGCTAGGTTATTCTACAAAATAATAAGTAGTTCCATACAGATATAATGTCTAAGTATAGAGTTTATATCTTTCCTCAAAATAAAACAGTAGCAAAGCTTAAAAGGAAAAGAAAAATCAGAGCTAGAAGCAGTTCTGAATCCCTATCTTGTGTATTACTGTCTTAAAGGTGGTCATGGGTATCATATGTTGTGATTGTTGTTGTGTTTATAGCTCTATTTTTTGTATCTGTTATATTTCCATGGCATATTAGAAAGCCCTTCCTATCCTAGTATTCTCTAGTAATTCTGGACTTCTCTCACAATTCCTAGTCAATTTGGCTTCACCATATTAATTTAGTCTATACTAACATTGTTAATGGATTGCAGAACTAACATCAGTAATCAGGTATAAGCAAACAAGTGGTCTATCTAATATGAATTATTTTCCATTTGTAGGAACCTGGCTTCTGTCATCATGGGGCTCCTGTGAGATGAGCAATGGCATGAGATTGAGATTTTTGGATGCCAATTATGATGATGAAGATGAGGGAAATGAAGAAGAGGAAGAAGATGATGGTGATATTTTTGCCGACATTTTCATTCCTTCAGAAGTAGTAAAAAAGAAAGAAGAGGTTCCCGTAAATTTTGTACCAGACCCAGAATCGGATGCGCTAGCAAAAGAATTAGGATTAATAGATGACGAGGGTAATCCAATAATACAGCCACGCAGGGAACAGACAGAGGATGATGAAGAACAGCTAATGAAAGCTTCAATGCTTGGGCTTCGATCATTTAAGGGGTCAGTTGCTGAAGAAGAATTGAAACACACAGCTCTAGCTTTAGAAGAAGATGCCCATGCTTCTGGTGAGTTATCTTTAAACACTCATCTAGTGTTGATAAACAGCACTGATGCTATGCGTGGTAATGAAGAACTGGGAACTCAGAATAACTCTTAGGTAAATGCATCTGAGACAATCTATGCTAATTATACATCTTCGACAGGAGAAATTTTAATTTCAATTATCACTGCAATGATTGGCATCTTGCTATCTAAGAAAAGCCAAAATGAAGAGAATATTACTCAGATTTCAGATAGCTACAAGGAAATGCTTGCTGCTGAATATTTAAAAGCAGGCAGAGGTCTTCAGAGCAAAGATATAGAAGATTTAATGTCCCCTGAAATAATCCCTTCCCTGAAAGAGCAAGAAGAAAATACATTTGAAAATGATATTTGGGATAAAAAGGGAGAAAGACAAATTCTGACAGAAGCAACTTTGCATGCTCTTAAAGAGATGCATGCTCTATTTTTTTATGTACAATAAAAGAGAAATCTTTCTGCTTTCAACATCACAAGTGAGGGCATGAAATTTCTTTCTAGTACAGAAAATGACTACCATAGATAACTCAAAAGCCAATTACTTTTTATATGATTATGATTATAAAGAAGAAGAAGCAACAGCAGCAGCAAATGTTGAGTTTTCCAAAGTTATAATAAATACAATTTCAGATGATAAAAAAACAGTGGAGAACAATGGATCTGAGGTAAACCTTGTTTCTGTACCTTCTATAATGCTACAACCTGAAAATTTGACTTCAGATGCCACATTAGATAATTTTGTTTCTACAACAATTTCGAAGACTACGAAGACTTGGAACAGTTCATTTCACCAGAGACAGAAATGCCTTCCTAAAAACACAGACATGGAATGGAAGAAAGAAAATTACGATACATTAGCAGATATCCCTAATGATGTTGACAATAAATTCCAGAACAGCAGCAGAAATGCCTCATTTTATCAAGAAAATGCCATGTTCCCTGGAAAGAGAAAAGAGATAACTCTAATGGTCAACTTGAGTTGGGCCAACCAGGAATTACTAACAAACATGATTCTCAGAAAGATGAGAACTGCACTATCAATATATCTCAATCTTTTATAAAAATCCAACGAAAGAAAAAAAAGCCAAAAGTTTTAACTCCAAGGACTTCCAAGCATCTAGAGTTACCTAGAAATCTCAACAATTCCCAACTTTCTAATAAACCCAACCACACAAAATTGTTAAATGAGGCCAAATTGACACGAAAACAGGACAAGCTTATTGTTACAATAGGTCTTCCAGTGGAAGATGGTGACTATCAGGAATATGAGATAGATAATACAGACAATGATAAGAGTAGCAGTGGTTCATTTGAGTATGAGTTAATGTATTATAATAATCCATATACCACAGATCCTCGAATTGACAGTAATAGTGCACGTAATCCTGATGACATAGCTGGACGCTACCTGCGTACTATCAACCGTGGAAATAAAAGGAGGTACTACATTGCAGCAGAAGAAGTTTTGTGGGACTACTCACCGATCGGAAAAAGGTTTGACTGAATTATTTGTTTTTAATTATTGCTCAGTTTCATATTGCTGCTTTAACAATAACATCAGAGGTGGTATTCAGCAGGTTCTGACCAGTTATGGAGAACTGGTAGCAGAAATTTTGAGTAGCTCAGAGAACCAGCAAATACCACTTCTGACTGGAGATTTTACAATATCCTTCCCCTGTCACGCCCACCAGGCTAATTGAATCCCACCACCGAATAACAAGCTAAGACGTTAAAAGAATCTATTAGCCATGAACAAGTGTAATTTTTTATAATGAAATGCTATTAAAACTTGAGCCAGATATGAAAAACTGGACCGTTCAGATGTTATCACAGAAAGACAACAAATTTAGAACTATAGAATCCAATCTGGATTGATGATTTCCAAGTTCCTTTTCTATCCCATGCCAAAAGCCTTTCCAAAGCCTTTCCAAAATCTTAAGTTTATAATGTCATCTAAATTCAGCACAACCTCATTTTAATTTATTTTAAAAAATTGTATTTGAGGTTTATTGTAGATTGAAAATTCTATTTTCTATAACCTTAAAATAGTTTTACCTAACTATTTGCTTAAAATTGCTATCATGGTAGTGCATATGTTTTAGCTGAAGTTTTTGGATAGTGTGTTATGAAAATATACTCTTTTTTAGTATTTGTGTTTTTGGAATTGCTTTTTTGGAATTTTGAATACATCATGGTTTAGTTAGAAATTATCTGTTCAGCAATCAAACACAAATGGCATGGGAACACACTAGAGCTAAATCTGAAGAAGCCCCAAACTCCAATATGTAAGAACCACAACAGTGTTTTGTGAATCCAGGCACCACAATTTATAAACTATTGTTGTATGATCCTAGCCAAAAGCTTTTTTGGAAAATAGAAGAATCAGAACTGGAAAGCAGGAAAAGAATTGAAAAAGACAAATATATTTATAGTGAAGAAAACATTAAGAAAAAAAGGTATGTTTTCATATACGTCTTAGAATTGTTAAAGAAAACAAGAAATTGCAAAGAGGCAACCACAAGCATTATTATATCCATTCTCCATCGAGCTGCTTCGAGCATCCAGAGTGGGAGGTGCTCCAGTCTCTGCACTCACAGGCTGAGCTTCAATTGAGGAACGCTCCTCCTCCACCACGTGACTCCTCCGAAGCGTTCCCCAGTTTTAGCTCAGCCTCGTGGGAGACAGGCAGTTTCTTTCAAAGCTCCTTGGCCGACTCAGGATAAAAAAAACAGGATTTTAAACTCAGGTTTGATATATTTTATTTCTAGCCCCTGCGCTTTAATTGGTCTGTTCCACTTAAAAGAGGAGCGTTTTTTTGCCCCTCAAGGGGGTAGAAACGGGACTAGCAGCACCTTCGCGCCCCCCCTCCCCCTCGAAAGCCTCTCTTTTCTCCCTGCCGTTTCTTTAAAGCTGCTTCTGCTTGCACAGCAGCGGCTCGTTTATTGTGCAATTTATTGTGCCTCGTTGTTTCTTCCCCCCACGAACGCCTAACTTAGAGGGAGATCCAATCTCCAACGGCCGCCATTTTGGGTGCTGCCTCGTGGCCGGCCGCCATTTTGTTTTCTGCTTATTTTGCTGCGGTGAGTGTTCAGGGGCCCATAGCAGGACCGGCAGGCCTGTTTAGAGCCGATTTAATCGTTTAGGCATTGTGGCTCCCAGTCCTATTGCCTATTATTGAGAGTTGTTGGCTATGCCACAGCCTGCTCAGAGGCGAAGTAAGAGCAGCACTAGTACCACCCATTTTGTCTGGGAGGCAGCTGCAGAAGGCCCAATTCTTTTCCTTTGGCTTCAGCGTTCATTTGGCTTATTGGTTAAATTGATCATTTTTTTCCTTAAATTTTCAAGTGTTTTACTTCAATTGGAAATAATTCCCAGACTACTCTGGTACTGTTAGACCTTGATTATTCATATTCCTCTTTTCTATTCTATATTCTATATATATATAAAAATTTTCAAAAAGGGGGACATGGAACAACTGTAGGACATCCGGCCTTGTTGTAGGTCGAACTCCTAGGCGAGCCAACCAACTCATTTGGTTATTAGCATACCCTACATTGATTTCTATTGTGGCAGAGGACAACCCCAGGGGACCTTCTTTGAAGGCCAAATCAAAAATGCACCATTTGTGCAGGCAGGCCAAGGAAACATCCAAAGCCTCTCAGAGAGATGCCTTAAGACTCCATAAAGCGCTAGAGAAGGAATTTGATAAACGATCAAGGGACTTACAATCTGTACCTTCAGTACTTACTCTTCCCACCCCATCTACCTCAACTCAACCCCCCCTCCTCCAGACCAGTTTTCTCTTTCCAGGCGCAGCTCGCCCACTCAGAGTCTTCAAACCGCTGTTACACCAGCCACCCGGACACCCAAGGCTACCTTCACCCTGACAGCTGCTGGCCTACGGCAAGAAGAACCATCTGCAGACCTGGTCCCAGACAAGATAAGAGAATGGATGCAGCTGGCTATCCGCCAAGGAATCGCGGAAGGTCTCCAGCAGATAGCCAGGCCAGGCCTACAAACGATGGTTCCTGATATCGAATCTGTATCTGGCAGATCTCTCTCCCCAGACCGGAACCTCACCATGGTCAGGTACTCCCCCAGAGGGAAATCCCTTTTCCAGAAGGGGAGGAGGAGGAGGAGGAGGAAGAGGAAGAGGAAGCAGGCCTAGAACACCTCGGGGAAGAGGAAGATTTTGATATGGGGTCCATTCATTACTCTGAGCCTCTTCCAGAGTTGGAACCAATGAAGGTGAAATGTCAGAGGACGAGGGTCTTACCTCTGACCAGCCCGTTTTTGTAGGTTTGTTCAAACCCCACCTGTTCAAGTCCTTATTGTTTAAGGCAAAAAACATTTCTGGCCTGATATCTCAGTCACCCTCTGATACTTCCCCGGCAGCCTCTGGAGATCCAGAGGACTCCATTTTCAAGCAACCGGTTGTGGAGGCCGAAGTTATTCCTACCCCACCCATTTTTTCTCACCTGGTAGCGAAACAATTGGCTTCAACAGGGGCACCTCCTGCTCCCTCCAGTCAGGATAGGAGATTTTTTAATCTCGATGTGGAGTTTTCCACCTTGTTAGAGACTCCCAAGGTTGACGAGCCCATAGTGGGGTTAGCGTCATCCTCTACCCCAAGTGACGCTCTGGAAGCTCTAAAACCAGAGGTCAAATGGGCCGAAATGGCGCTACGCCGGGCACATCAATCTGATGCCTGGGCCATTCGATCAGCCACGGCTGCATCCTTCTTTACATGATCCTCCATTAGATGGCTCCGCCAATTAAAGCAGCATGTCCCTCCATCCAATACCAGGGCACACCAGGACATTGCTAAGCTTATGGCAGCAGCAGAATTCTCGGCCGACGCTACCTTCCATTCCGTTAAATTTTCCACCAGGGCTGTCTCATCTCAGGTTACAGCCCGTCATCTGCTCTGGCTCAACCACTGGCAGGCAGACGTTAAAAATAAAGTAAAATTGGCTTCCGCTCCTATCTTGGGAGGCAAACTCTTCGGTCTGGCCCTGAAACCTTTATTAATGGAAAGCCGAAATAAGAAAAAATTTCTTCCGTCTCTCTTTCGCAGATATGAATCCAGAGTATCCCAGCCCTTTCGGAGGGGATCCTTTCAAACCTCCTATCAGACACCTTTCTCTCCCAGGTTTCAGAGAGCCCCGCCCTTTCGGTTGGTCCAACCTCAGGATCGATCCAACCCGGGTGACAGAACCAGAAGGGGTGCCAACTACAAGAGACCCTTTCGGGGTGCAGGAAATAAACCTTTCCGGTGCCCAAGATAAGTCTCTAACCCCCCTCCCCATTGGCGGACGCCTCAAACATTTTGCCGACCAATGGGAATCCTCTACTTCTGATGCCTGGGTTAGGGACACCATCAAATTTGGCCTCTCCCTTGAATTTCAGTTCACCCCCCCCCCCCCGAGCATTTTATGGTATCCCCTCTCTCCAAAGATCATACCAAGTGTGATCTAATAGATGCCGCCATCAAACATCTCATTGAAATCAAGGCTATTTAGCCCATCCCACACTCGCAACGAGGAAGAGGGTTTTACTCTCACCTTTTCATAGTTCCCAAACTCTCCGGAGGGTGGAGGCCCATACTAGATTTGAAAAGGCTTAACCGATTCATTATCTGACATAAATTTAAGATGCACACACTACAGTCTATTCTTCAAGGTATCAGGAAGGGAGACTGGCTCACTTCCATTGACCTCTCAGAGGCATACCTACGCATCGCTATTCGACCCTCCTATTTCAGATTTCTGCAATTTTGCTATAACAGTCAACACTTTCAGTATGTGGCCCTTCCCTTTGGTTTGGCCTCGGCCCCGAGGACCTTTACCAAAGTTCTTGCGGCCCTAGCGGCTCAACTTAGAAATTTCCCCATCCGTATTCACTGTTATCTGGATGACATTCTCATCCTGTCTCCTTCCAAATGCCAAGCAGAAAGGGACACTAGAACTACCCCCTCTGTTCTCCAGGCACATGGCTTTCTCGTAAATTGGGGAAAAAGCCAGTTATCTCCATCCACCCGAACAGCACACCTGGGGACAGTGATTGATTCGGTTAAGGGAAGGGTCTTCTTGTCCCCTGAAAGATTTCTCAGCATCCAGAAATCGGTCAGGGAGATCAGACGAGCAAAGAAGGTAGCATTACTGGACCTGTCAAAATTACTTGGCAAATTGGTTTCATGCATTTCCATTGTTCCCTGGGCCCGTTCGCATACCAGATCCCTTCAGTGGTTCCTGCTTCCATATCAGTGATCCGGAAGGAGCAACTCAAAGGCCCAGGTGAAGGTACCTCCAAGGGTTCTTGCATCTCTCGTCTGGTGGACCAGATCTTCCATCAACAAAGGACATTACTTCAAGGAGCCCCAGAGGGTCACCCTCACCACAGAAGCCAGCCTATCCAGATGGGGCGCTCACATCCACTCGCTCTCAGCTCAGGGCACATGGTCAGCAACTGAGCAATGGTGCAGCATAAACTGG